TCCTCTCCACGGCCTGGAAGGCTCCCCAGCCCCCCACCACCGGCTTTCCCTCCTGTCCCGGCAGGTGGACGACACCGGCACGTTCCGGGTACTGGTGGTTCCCCCCGGGGCCGCGTACACCCCCGCGCTCGAGAAACTCCAGCGCTGCACGTTCTGCTCCGGTAAGAGGTGGAGCCACGGCCGGGTGGGCCACAGGGAGCCCGTTGGGAGGGGGCCGCTGGGACTTGGCCACGGCGACACCTGGCCTCGGGGGCCTCTGGGCTGCAGGCGCACCTGTGACCCCTCGCCTTCCACGGAGGCAGCCTCGCTCAGCACCGGGGTCCCTCCCGCACCTCCCCGGGGTGCCTTCCAGACCCGCGACTCAGCCTGGCTTCCAGGAGGCAGCAGTGGCTCCAGGGAGGCGCCGTCCATCTTGGCGCCAAGTTTTCTGTGCTAGAACGCGTGTCTGTGTGTCTTCTAAATGTCAGATAGTCACAGCCCCCAAGAAATGCCCTAAGCAATTCAGCACCCTCCCACCTGCGCAGGGACAATTTTTTTTAGCACAGTAGATGTGAAAAATAGCACAAATGTGTGCATTTTCACTGACAAGAGGCTTCCTGGACTCCCAGAGATTAAGCGTCAGAGAGAGCCACAGTGGCAACTGCTCGTGGCATTTTGCGCATGAGCTACAGGCATTAACGAAACGGGACCCGCACTGAGTTCTGATGGTGGCGAGGACACTGCAAGCCAGCGGGATAGGGCGGACATAGGCGCCGAGCAACATCAAGCACTCCCTGTGGCCATGCTCGTCCGGACGGTTGCATGGGTGTGCGAGGTGGTGATGGCGGTATTAGCGCCCAAGCTGTCGTGCGGATCTCAACCAAGCCCTGCCAGACGTGCGTGGGAACGGCCATCGCTCCTTCCCCTCGCCGGAACGCGCAGGCTCATCCTAGCTGGTCTTGCAGGGAGGAAGCGAGGCGTGGAGGGATGCCGCGGCTGCTGGGCCCACCAGGGTGAGCCCGGCAGCTGTCGGGAAGTGGGGGTCTTCATGCTCTCTCTGAAACGCTTCCGTCGGGCTTGAAGAAAACCCGTGACGCCCTTTCTCCGCACCCATCAGCAAGATGCTCAGGCCTGCCGCCAAAGTGGCCTCCCAGGAGGTGGGATTCCCAGGGAGCAGGAGGACTTCCTGTCTTTTGTCAGTCCTTTTCCTCCCTCCCTCCTCCCTCTCCCCCTTCTGTTTCTCCCCCCCCCGCCCCCGACTCTACAGGGTGGTCAAGCACCAGCACAGCCCACCCTCCATGCTTTCAGTCACTCCTCATGCATGTCGGCCGCAGCCCGTGCAGGGTGTGCGGCACAGCTGGCACCAAGCACGTGTGACTGGGGCCAGACTTTGGCTCGTCTCTTGGCTGGAGTCCTTGTTTTGTGCCTCTGGCCAATCACGGAGGACGTTTTGGCTGTCGTTCCCTGCAACTAAAAGCCCACAAAACCAAGCAAATGGGCAGCAGCCTGCTGTCCCCGGTCTTGGAAACTGCCTGCAGGCAGGTGACGCTTCTGTCACAGGGACGTGCACTTTTCTGAATTCCGGTCAGGGGGCTGTGACTCGGCCAAGACCACACCTTTATCGAGCCCATGGGTAAGACGGAGTGAGATGTCCGCTGCCCCCATCGGGGCTGGCTCTGGTCGTGAATCTTCCTCTAAAGCTCCAACTCGTGGCCCAGGCCTGGAGCTAAGTGCTGCTGTCCACGTGTGCGCTCCATTTCTTTCCTCTTTGGGTTTTAGTTTTGCTTTCTTATTTTGAGTCAGGGTCTCACCCTGTCAGTCAGGCTGGTGTGACCACAGCTGCTACAGCCTCAGCTTCCTGGGCTCAGGTGATCCTTCCGCCTGAGCCTCCCGAGTAGCTTTGACTACAGGCACAGGCCACCATGCCTGGATTTTTTGTAGAGATGCTAGGTTGCCTACGCTGATCTCTTTGGGTTTAAAAGAGGCCATTCTCATCCTCAACCACACACGACTACTGAAACCTGGGATTTCAAGGATCCTGCCAGGAAGGGATCTCCAGGCGTCTGGTCCCACCACCTAGGACTGGGGTCCGCTGACTCGGCTGGGGGATGCAGCTTGTTCTTTGCCAGGACAAGGCAGACCCAGGCATCCCAGCTCGAAGGCCAAGGGGCCTCCCGGGTATGCCACCACTGGCCTCCTAACGATAAAACACTGACTTTGTACATAGAACCTTCCGGACAAACTGGTGTGTCCTTTGGCAAAATGATTGTATTCTCCTGGCCCCGTACCCCTGCAAAGTTAGAAGAGGTGACCTTGAGGATCCCCTTACGTCCGTGCTTCTAACTTTGAATAGTCGTGTGGCCAGATTCAATAAAATTCCTGTTTTTACGACTATGCACTCCTCTGTTAAAATGAGGTATGTGATTATACGCATGACCTCATAGTTCATGAAAGTCCATTAATATCCACTATTCATTTAACAAACATGTATTGAGCTTCCGACTAGTAAGCACTTGGAAATGCAAGAGCAGCAGTAGCTTTGTCCTTGGGGGCGCACACACACACTGAGTCATAAGCACTTGTGGAAACGAAATAAAGACAAGCTGCTGTCTTCACTTGTGCTTTTTAAGCAGCCTGCTGTTTAACAGCAGGACAGCGAGACACGATGACAAGGTGCGGGGCCACCCGTGTGTTGCCAGTCTGGGCAGATCAGGTGCTTTCAGGTGGCGATGGTCAGTGCGTCCTCGCACGCAGGAGGCACACTGTCCATTCAGATGTTATAGACTTAGGACACAGCCAAGATCAAACCTCTGTTGAAAACACCTCTTTGAAGTCACTGCAGAGCCCAACACTTCTGTTCAAATGTCTGATCACATTAGTAAACGGAGTCCAAGACACAGGCTGGGGAGGAAGTCTGTACTTTATGGAGACAGATGCCAGCCATGTCCTGTTCTGACACTAAAGTCACTGGTAACTGTTTTAACCTCCAAGACGGTGCCGTTTCTAAATGCCGGCCCATGCAAGGCGCTCCATCCTTTTCTGTCCGTGTCTGCCAAGTAACCCTGGTGACCTTCTGTCCACAGACACCTGCAGGCCGGATGCCTCTTGCGACCAGGCCGGACCAGCCCCCGGGCCAGCTCCTGTGGACGCCGCCTTCCTCCTGGACGGCTCCCGGAACGTGGGGGCGGCTGAATTTGAAGACCTGAGAGGCTTCCTGCAAGCACTGTTAGACCACTTTGAGGTCGCTGCAGAGCCCGAGACATCCGTCACGGGAGACCGGGTGGCCCTGGTGAGCCACGCACCCCCCGGTTTCCTGCCCGGCACGCGGAGGAGCCCTGTCCGGAGCGAGTTCAACCTGACCACCTACGGCAGCAGGCGGCTCATGAAGAGGCACGTGGCCACGGCTGTCCGGCAGCTGCACGGGGACGCCCTTGTCGGCCACGCCTTGCAGTGGACCCTGGACAACGTCTTCTTGAGGGCGCCCAACCCGAGAAGAAACAAAGTCATCTTCGTGATATCCGCGGGGGAGACCAGCCCCTGGGACGGGGAGACCCTACAGAGGGAGTCCCTGCGCGCCAAGTGCCAGGGCTACGCCCTGTTTGTGGTTTCCCTCGGCCCCACGTGGAGTGCCCAGGAGCTGGCGGACCTGGCCAGCCCACCCCTGGACCACCACCTGGTCCAGCTCGGCCGCATCCACAGGCCTGACCACGGATACAGCGTGCGGTTCGTGAGGGCCTTCATTAACTCCGTCCGGCGTAAGTCAGAGCTCTGCCCTTCCCCGCAGAACATGCTCGGCGTTCCGTGGGGAGAGGCTGCGAGCTGGCATGTGTGCCTGGAAACCTCCCGTCAGCCTTCAAGGACGCTGCAGGGTCAGGGAGGCGAATCCGGAGCGAGGGGATGGGAGGGAAGAGGCTGGCTCCGAGCATTTGGTTTCCTGGCTCATCTTCTATGCCTGTGATTCCTGTGGAGACACAGGCACAAGCAGATGTTCCCACATCTGTCCATGTGCAGCAGAGCGGCCCAGGGTGTGAGGTCATGGCTCAGACCTTAGAGACGTGCCCTGTCATGTTCACACACTGCCTTCGGTGGAAAGTTCCACTGCTAGCTCATCAGGGAGTGTGCCAAAGAAAAATGACACCGCTCTTGGCGTTGCCTCCACAGGCTCCCAGCGCAGTCTCAAGTGTCAGGAGGTGCCATTTACCCATCAGGATAGAGGCAGCCTTGCAAAACTTTCTTAGCCTCGTTGATGACTTTGTATAATGCTGGCAGTTAGTGTAACTGGTGCCCATAAAAAAGAAACACGGCTGTATTTTCAGAGTGAGCTTGCTTCAAAACATTCAACCCGCTCTGAAGGCAACAGGAGGGGTGAGCGCGCCACCCCCTGATGTAACTCAGAGGGCGAGGCACTTGGTCGGATGAGCAGATGTCCCCCTGAAGCCCAGGTAGGAAAGGGAGCGCCCGGGCCAAGGAGGATCCACGCCACTCAGTGAGGTCCTGGCGTGCGAGCCCATCCAGGCTGTGGGGACGCTGACCAGGCGCTGAGGAGCCTCGGAGGCCATAGATGGGCCGACGGCATGTCCTCTGCAGACAAACTGAGTCCAGGACCTGCAGCACCAGTGTCCGGGAGCTCACTAGAAATGCATGAGCCGAGGCCCCCCAGACATTCTGGCCCAGAATCTGCACGCGACCAGGGTCCCGGGTGATCCTCACGCACACTCCGGCTGGAGAAACACCAGTGGGGCCAGTGAGCCCCAGATGGAGTGTGTGGATGTGTTCTGGAGGAGGACCTTCACAGAAGAGTAGAAAAAGGAGGAAAAGAAAACAGGGGCGCAGGTCATTCTGAAGGAAGCGACCACCAGGCATTCAGAAGGGTAAAGCTGAAGAAACCCCGAGCTTGTGAAAGGGACACTCCCCGGGACATGAGATGCTGAGCGAAGTCTTGGGGTGGAATTCCTTCCCCATTCCCCCCAGATTCCTGGTGGTGGTCAGGCAGTTAGTCAAGACACATGATTAGATACATGGCAGCACCACCTCCAACCACAGAAAGGGAGAGATGTTTTCATTAAAAAGTGCTTCGAGAACATGAGTGGTATATAACGTGCTTTTGGAAGACTGCAAACGCGATGCAATTGCACCTCACCTTCCGAAACCTCAAATACCTAGAAAGCTCCAATCTTTAAACTATAGCTGTAGAAGTACAAGTCAAATCAGACTCTGCGTGACCACGACCAACTCAAGCCTGCTGCAGGCCCACAGACTCACACTCGCCCATTCAGCACTAACATGCACTTTTGGGCACCTACTTTGAGCCACTCACTGCTCTGGTGCTCGACGTCAAGGTGTGGCCCCAGGAGCCCTGGTTCTGACTGCGCTTCCCGTGCTCCTGGTCTGGCCCCTTCTGTGCTGTGACTCTCACTGAACACCCTGCTGCCAAAGGCTGGGCTGTTGAGGGCCGTCCGTGTTTCCTAAAAGGAGCAGAACTGCTGACAAGCAATCTGATGCTTGGAGTTAGCACAGGCAGAACTAAAACCCAGGTGCACATGATGGGGGCACCAAGTGGTGAGGCACTCCGTCTGGAGAACACAGTCCTACCTCCAGTGGCCGCCAGGACTGACGTGCTTCTCGCGGTGACCCTGGGTCACCAGAAGAGAGTTTGTTGTGTTAACCAGTCTGTTCGATTTCATGCTGCAAGGAAATATATAATACTCTTTAAAGACTCCCTCAAAAACGGCTTGTTAATGTATAAGTAGTACAAGCAGAGGCTTGTGTTATTCTGTCGAAAAGTTAACACGCTTCCCAGTGAGCCACTTAAACCCAAGATGGCACCAGCGTTGCTGTTGCTGTTAGTGATTCAAAACCGGAAAGGGAAGGTCTCTTTCCCCTTGCATTTGGATATTCCAGAGGAGCAGATGAAATAAGGCTGTTCTGATGCATTCGTGTCGACGAAAGGCCGACCATCAGGACTGGCTGATGATGCCTCCTCTAATGGCTGGCCCACTTTAGCAGCAAAGGGCACCTTACTGAAAAGCCAGCTGAATTCACATGCAGATTCAGAAGTCACATTTCTGAAATCTTTCCTTTCCCGTCACCACCTTCACAGTATCTTTCTTTGATGGATACTGAAAACAGTGAAGGGACACTTTTGCACACAGAGCAGACTGCAGTAACATGAACAGCCTCGAATACAAGACTCATCACAGACTTTTCTCTTCCTAGGTGCAATCAACAAATATCCACCAATAAACTTGAAAACAAAGTGCCACAGACTCAGCTCCACGAACCCAAAGCAGCCCCTGCAACAGCTTCACAGGTACTGTCTGCTTGGGATTATTCAATAAGTGGATGTGCAACTCTCCTCATCTCTTCCTCCTCTTCTTTTTTCTTCCTCCTTTTTCACTTATCTGGACAAAAATCTTTTGCTACATTATGTTGAAGTATAATTCAGAGGAACAAGACCATTTTTAAAAAACGACCAGGTTGGTCTGAAAACCAATTTTTTTAAATGAAAAATCTGCTGAAATAAAATACCCAAATGGGACATCCTGATGGCAACAAGAGTACCTGATGACCAGATTTTGGTCTCTGAATTACCACCAAGAGGAACCAGGGTTCCCTGTCTTGGGAAGGGATGTGCCCAGAGCTGCTCAGCCAGTGAGGGAGGGGCTGCAATGTAAGAACGTCTTCAGATGTAAGCTCGTGTCACCACATCCCTGTCAAATTAGGTCGTCTGAAATGGCTGTGCCTGTGCTGGCCAACAGAGTAGGCGCTAGCTAAATGCAGTTCATCCAAGTCAGTTAAAATTAAATGGAATGACAGTTTCGGTTCTTGGGTCACAATAGCCACATTTCAAGTGCCCAAGGCCATGTGCAGTTCACAGCAGCCCTGCTGGACAGCACACATGACAGGACATTGCCACCAGCACAGAACTTCTGGTTAGCACTAGGCTTCTGCGATTCCGTGCTTCTGTCTGGCATTCCAGGGCTTTGAGAGTGGGACTCCAGCTCCCCACGCTGTCAGGTTACTCATGGCTTCCAGTCAGGCTCTTCATGTGCCCGCCTGGCTTGGCTCCATTCCAGTGTCGTCCACGTCCCTGAGACAGCGCCTTCCACAGAGCAGGGGGCAGACATCTGGATGGATGGGTCAATGGGCAGGTGGAAGAAAGACAGGGAGGCTGGGAACGGCATGGCATGCGTTCACGCCCTCTAGGCAAATACTCCCTGAGCACTCATCAAGGCTCTGGGGATCGCTGGGGTGGACTGACAAGGTCTCACGAATGCTCTGTATGAAAGAGTACAGGGCAGGTCATGAGAAAGTTTACAGTGAGTAAAAGCTCAGAGGGTGCTGCTATGAATGAACAAAAGCTTGCTGTGACAGGTGACGGGGAGAGGGGTGGAGCTGGGGAAACTAGGAAGGTGGTCTGGGGGGTGGGGAGCCCAAGTCCGAGTAATCTGAAGGAAAGGAGCCCCTCTGAACCCATTCTGGCTCAGAAGCTGCCTGCTAAAGTCGTCACCGTCATTGTCATCACCAGATGGACCAGCCACGAGAAGATCTGAGCAGAGCGTGCCCCTGTAAGTCACTGTGCAGCTGCTGTTAGACTTCTGCATCCTTTGACAAGATGCCTCTCTTGTCAGCTTCTGTTGTCTGGGCCAGTGTAAATCCCAACGTAACTCTCCTAAGAGAATTACCTGGGAAAGGATGCAGCAAGGCCAGGGGTGAACAGGGGATCTGGGAAGCCAGGTGACTGTAGCTCTTAAAGGCGAAGTGACATTCATCTTCTGTGATGTTCTCTCCTTTCGTTGTCCAGCTTTGCTCCTGGACCACACAAAGCTGCCCTCAAGGGAGTCGCCTTCCAAGAAGCAAAATTCTTTCAAGCCAGAAAATTCCTTTCAAGAATAGTAAGAAGTGGCAGAGATGGTGCCACTCACAACTTTACCAGCAGCACATCCCTGACCTTTAAAACTGGAAAAAGGGTCGTCACGTCTGCAGCCCAACGTGGGGAAGGGGGTGATCGACCCATCTGGCCGTAGAAGCACAGTGAGTCTCCAGACCCAGCTGCATCCACCGCCAGGACGAGGCCACAGGTGACCTGCGGTGCAGGCCCTCACTCCTGGGTGTTCAGATGCATCTCGTCCATGTACATGACCACTCCCGGGCAGTGCCAGCACGTGAAGGGTGGACGGTCCAAGAACTGCTTTCGCAAGACAGAAGAATGAAGGTGTTTCGAGAAGTTGATGGAGACATGATGGAAAGGGACCCTTGCGTGTATGCATGTGTACATGTGGGCCGGTGCTGCTGCTTTTGACTGTATACCCCTCCATTTTCTGCAAACCAAGCCTTCTTTCTTAATTTAGTAATGTGTCATGCTCATTATTTAGCCAAAGTTATTTTTAAATGTAAGGGGCTATTCCAAAATCTGCCCTAGCCATTGATGCTGTCTGCATGTCCTCCTGTGGAAAATGTGACCTCCGTGACCAAGGCACTTGAACCCACCACTCCCCGTGGACTGGCCAGGCCTCAGACGAGGGCTGGAAGGCTTCTGCCCACCTTCTGCAGCTGTTCACTTGGGACTGATGAGATGCAGGGCGTACTTTTCTCCACCTCTCAATCTTCCTAAGCTCACTGAGAAACTCAGATTCCCCCAGAACATAAATGACTGCTTTTGAGCTGGAAGTCCTCTCTATTATGAAGCTCTATTATGAAGAATTACTGTCTTTCCTTCCTCTTATGTTCATTTATTTTCACTGATCCCTGTATTTAGACAGGAGAGTAAAGACACAACTGTCATGAGTGAAGCTCTGAGATACTGTTAGCCATCAGGTGGCTATTTAGTCAGCAGCGAAGGGCACCATGGCAGGACTGGCAGAGCTCTAAAAAGAGCCTCAAATGCATTGAGTTTGGGAGAGACAAGAAAATCGTTGTTTCAGCCTACACGCTCATGCCATGCGGGGTTGTGGAGATGCAGAAGAGACCAGAGTCAGTCAGAGCAGGGCCTGCTTTCCGGGCACCTGGCCTGCAGCCGCCTTCCCCGAGGCTGTCTCCTCAGCCCCATCCAACTCTCACAGCAGGGCCACCAAAGCAGCACTGCTCAGTTTAAACACAGCGCTCAGACCTCACCTCAGTCCAGGAGCAGCTCCACGGCGGGGGCAGCAGCCCCACGAGTTACAGCACCCGCTTCGGGAAGGGCAGGAAGCCCCACTTGGTGCGCAGGGCAGCGACCCCTGGCACAGGACCAGCAGGGGGCGTTCGCACTCTTCTCCAACTCTCCCCTGACTCCCGAAGAGCCACCGCAGTGTCTGCGAACCACTTCCGTATCCACCCGGGCAGCTGCGGAGTCAGCTCACATCTCTCAGGGAGCAGGCAGTCCAGGGAGTTCAGTGTCACACTCAGGTAACACAGAACAGACCACTGGGTCTCTTCACTCAGCCCAGGTGGTGCTGAGGGGTTCGAGAAGAGCATTTCAAGAGCAGGAAGCGGATGAGCAATACTCACGAGGTATTTGACAACAGGGGTTTTCCTGGTTAACTTTGGGTCGAGCACAAACTCTTCTTCCATGTACTGTTGGAAAGACTTCTAAGTTTTTGGTAAGTAAAGTACACCAAACAAATACTCCCTTGGTGTGATTATTTGAGCATCGCGGGTTATCTTTTTAATCATGAATAGGCGAGGCTCTGACACCTGTTACAAATAAAAGTTCCCTTTCAAAAATAAATCCCTGGATACTTATCTAATCTGACTAGACAAATCACTCTCCTTGGTTTGCCTCTTTTTCCTAAAAGTGGAACCAGCGAAAGTTAAGTCGAATGTAGGTTTCATAGAGCTCCTTTTTTTTTTGAGTTGGAGTCTCACTCTGTCACCCAGACTGGAGTGCAGTGGCCGCTTCTGGCCACCGCAGCCTCGACCTGCTGGGCTCCGGCGATCCTTCCGCCGCAGCCTTCCAAGTAGCCGGAATTACAGGCATGCGTTACCATGCCCAGCTGATTTTTTTGATTTATTGTAGAGATGAGGTCTCGCTGCCCAGGCGAGTCTCAAACCCATGGGCTCGGGCAATCCACTCACCTCAGCCTCCCAAAGGCGCGGGATTACAGGCTGAGCCACTGAGCCCGGCTTCATAGAGCTCCTTTTAAGCCAAGACTCAGACGAGCGTGCTGTGCCTCAGTTTACCCGCGAGCACCAACGGCCGCCGGGGACCCACTCCCATCACCTCTGTGCTGAGCTGCGAGGAGGAAACTCCGCTGAGCAGGGAAGCACCAGATCGTGACACCTGGGGGCAACCCAAGCAGACAAGCTTTCGTTAAGAAAGTGGAGCTTAGCCGGGCTCGGTGGCTCAGCCTGTAATCCCGCGCCTTTGGGAGGCTGAGGTGAGTGGATTGCCCAAGCCTGCGGGTTCGAGACCCGCCTGGGCGGCGAGACCTCATCTCTACAATAAATCAAAAAATCAG